GAATGCTTCATGTTTATAAGAGCGACGTAAGTGTTGCAGTTTTCGAGACTTGATGACCTCCAAAACACCGTCTGGCTTCAATCGATTGAAAATCGTAGAATTGTTTGGACCTGTACTTTTGACGCTATGGGAAGCAAGGCGGAAGGAAACATTTCATACAATTACCGATTTCACACGTTTTAAGTCGTATCTCCAAATAGCCAGTGTAATTTTATTTTTTCAAAGTTTGCAGTGAAATTCGTCGGATAAGCGAAAATGATGTGTTCCCTAAGCGGTCCGCAGATAATGTTACGCGGTCATATTTTCGACACTAATGCATAGAATGTTTGTCACACTGCTGATTTCCAAACCTTCGAAAAACTATGTGGGTGCAACAATTTTGTTGTCATGTAATTCTAAAGGAATAATCTTCGACTTTTATCTAAATCGAAAGAGAAGTAAGTGTTGTTTGGCGGCGTACAGTTGCGACCTACACATCAGTATATTTGGTCGTAACGCTTCTTGATTGATCACACAACTTTACCAGCTATGTTATAAATACTGCGGGATTGGAAGATATAGGTTGTCGGTAGTATTTCGACAAATTGTTGGTTGGTTTTAAGCAGAAAATTTAGAAAATAGCGTTTGAAAGTCTGCGGAACAAATTCCAGTGAGTGTTCTTCCATGGTTCTCACAGACTCAGTTCGCTTGTTTCGGTTTGACAAAATCAACCATCGTTTATGCCTTTATTGTACCATTGACCGATCATCGCCAGTAAATTGTACAGTATATCTTTTTTTTGGATCTGGGATATTGCTACAGCAGTCGATAGCACTTCTGGAGGGCATTTCGGCGCACTTTTCGAATGTTTATTGCACCGTCCTAAAGGAAATGAGAGAACGAGTCGTGAGATATTCGACCTTCCTGGGTAGACGTCACAACAGTCGCTGGACCCATTCTCCTCAAACTCGGTCGTGAAACAAAATGGCGGTGTTTTGGGGTTATTTTCGAGATTTCGTCGGGGCACAGAAAATCGAGGATTTAACCGAATTCAAAAATGTTTTCGCGGAAGTATTTCAAATAACATGTAGATTCGTTTTAGCGAAAAAAAAAATTGGGGTTAGGTGCACTTTAATCTTTCAGCAAATATCTGCTCCACTGGGGTCTGCGTCAAACGTCCGACCGTAAAGCGGCGCCAAAGAATGATGGTCAGCTGGTGTATACTGATACCTTAAGGACGTTCTTGCTGATTGTTTCTGCGCATCCTTACTTCGCACGCAAATTCACACGCCAAGTCATCCATCGATCGCGCACTACGGTAATAGAATGAGCAATAATAGGGCAGATGGCCATTGCTTTTGCTTTGCCTGGATTTAACGTTCTTGGACGTTCGGTGACCCCTATTTTCCTTTTGGTGAATCATTTACTCTAAACACGATTTTCTACGATCAGCGAGAAAATGAAAAAAATCTATCGATTAGAAGATTGAATGTTTTGCAAAATGCACTATCAAATAGCGATCTTTTTAGCTCTTCGTTTAGCTGTGCAGCGGTTTTAAATGCCTCTTCCCGGATTAAGTCCTGCATAAAGGATGGCAACACTACAAATTATTAACGCAACAGACCAGCGTCTACAAAATAGGACTAAGATCGTTTCCCTCCGTTGACTCACCTTCGATATTTCTAACTGTAAGCCCCTGTAGACCATGCTGAATTACGGGCACCAATTTTTAAAACTCAAGGTAGTTTTCCAAACGATTTATCTCTGAAACGAAGTCGGTGACCCCCGTTTTTTTTTTTTTTTTTGGCATTTCTGACACAAGTAACTCACTATCTGACTGCAGTAAAAAATTTAAAAATTCTTTCGACTGGAAAATTTTCGCGCGAACATCCTTAAATGTGTCCTTTAACACTGTCTGGAGTAGAATGAGTTAAATAGCATGTGTTGGTTTAGTTCAATTAGTTGATTGTTTGAATATTCATGATAAATTACCTAGGTTATAGCTGTGGAACGAGCGTGTGAATGTATGCGTGTGGAATGTGTGTGTAATATGCTAATCAGTTTCATAACTTGG